AAAATTTTATTGGGTAACTTAAACAATTAATAATCCGTATTTCTACCGCGAACACTAACAACACAAGAACATCGGTTTGGCATACTCAAAATGAGTTCATCCAAATCACGCTGTGGAATGGCCGCCCATGTTCGTTGCAACAACAAAAAAAGGTCTTCTTGCGACTGGATACCCTCCATATTCGGCAGAGCTCTTCTCTGTAGCATATCCCATGCATGCTCAATCGGGTTCAAGTCTGGCGACTGAGCAGGCCAGGGCAGGACATTGATGTTAGCTGCGGCGAGAGTCAGTCTTACAACTCTTGCGGTGTGCGGTCGTGCATTATCATGCATTAACTGAAATAAGGGACCGATTTGCACTTGTAGAGGAACGATGACGTCTGATACAATCGTCTCAGCATAAATTTGAGCGTTGAGGTTGCCTCTGATCCAAATCAACTCAGTTCTTCCGCCGATCCAAATACCCGCCCATACCATGATGGTTCCACCACTATAAGGATGGACTTCCTGGCAGGATTTTAATCGCTGTTGGCGTCCAGGGGTTCTCCAGTGTCGTATACGTCTTGTATCCGGTCTCATACCAAAACGAGACTCATCAGAAAAGCACACGAAACGCCATTGTTCTTCTGCCCAATTTCTGTGTTCAAGAGCCCATTGATATCGAATCCTACGATTGTGCATTGCTATAGGTGGTACCCGTAGCGGTCTTCGGGAATGAAGGTTCACTTCATGCAAGCGGTTTCTGACTGTTTGGTCGCTAATTAAGTTCCCTGAAGAGTGATGAAGCCTCACGGCTAACATCATGGCGGTTATTGTTGGAGCTCTTCGAGTTAAGATTTGAATGTATCGGTCTTGTCTCCGTGTGGTGCAGCGATACCGTCCTCCATGGCGCTCAGCCACGGTACCAGTGCTTCGGTATCGTGTCCAAAGTCGACTGATAACACTCTGACTTGTATTCAGAGCTAAAGCCACAGTACGTTGCCGGGAACCAGCTTCTATCATTCCCACGGCTCTGAGCATTTCTTCCCTGCTTAAATGACGTCGCCGCTCCATAATAACGTTGGTTTTAATCAGTAGTAGGGAAACAGTAGCACTAATAATGTCTTCAATGCGTTGTATGTTTTTATAGGGAAAATATTGACAGCTGATTTTCATCTTTTACTCGAATTTGATTCACAGTTCCTGATTCAAATTATGAAATGCACCAAAAAGGATCCATATAAATTCATAAAATCATAAATTTATTACAAAGCCACATCTCAATCTCAAGAAATCCGCATAAAAATGCTTGATCCCTAGACACTTTTGATGTGTGTACATAAAAAAAATATAAACAGTCTAACACAGAATCTCCTTCCTTTTTGAAGTCGGTTAAAAAATAAAGAGTAATTTAAAAAGTCATTTTAATATAATAACAACTAAATAAACTAAATGAACAAAATTGACATATAAATGAAATTTTACGAAAGTAACTGAATAACTATTTAGTTATACCGTTATACTTATAAAAGCAAATACTCGCAGTCGGTTCTCCGGTGACACGGGAGATTGTGATAGTTTAAGAACAACAGTTTGATTTCCCCAGTGGAAAGTAACCGAGGAGAAGCTAGTCAAGTGCGAGTCGTACACAAGCAGGGTTCTGTACAACAGCAAAAGATTTAACTTTACGCGAAGATAAAAGTAAACCAAAACCGTTTATTAAATGAGAGTCCCCTTTTATCCAATAAAGCTGCAAAATACTTATTGAACATTGGCTAAATATTTGTGGAGCTACCACAGAAGAATTTGAATGCACATTTAAGAAAACATTTTAAACATAGATTTTGACGTTTTGTAACTTTACAGGTGCCATCGCCACAAGACTGAGGTGCTGGTTAACTATCATTAATATTCGACTAGCTATCATCTGAAAATATTTATCGATCGAGGATGTTCTGTTAACACAAATTATTTGAACAAATAATTATTTTATTTTATCTAACAATGGATGGAGTCTGAAATCACGATTGCACGAAAGCCAAAATGGCTTTAGGAAAAATCACTCCACTATCCTAGCAGTTTATAAATTTATAAAAGACGTCTACCAACAAATAAATAATAGGAAGTACGCGGTGGGCCTTCTTCTCGACATGAGCAAGGCCTACGACAGGGTCAGTTATAGAACTCTTCTGGATATATTATATGGAATGGGGATTAGGGGATTGCCTCATGAATGGTTCAAATCTTATCTTGAAAATCGTTACCAATACGTGGAAATTGAAAATACTGATTTTGAGACAGGTAAAATTACACATACTAAATCTGATTTAATTTATGTAACTGGTTCAATTCCGCAGGGTAGCGTTTTGGGGTGTAATTTTTTTCTTGCCTATATTAATAATCTACCCAATGTACTGGAGGAGATGTGTGTGCTGTTTGCTGATGATATATCTTACTCAATATCTTGCTCAAGTGCTTCAGAATTAAAATCTAAACTAGACTCTACCATTAATAAAATTACGAACTGGCTAGAATCACACCATTTGCAACTCAATCTTAGCAAAACTAAGCTCATTCAATTCGGACCCTACCAAAAAGTGCCACTAGACATATAGTACAGTTATAGAGACACAAAGATTGATGTCGTCAATACTGCTACTTTGCTGGGTATCGAGTTGGATGCACACTTAAACTGGAAATGCCACATACAAAGGCTGTTAAAAAAGATGTCATCTTTTGTTTATGCACTTCAACATTTAAAACGTGTGACTGATTTTAGATCCGCTCTTACTGCTTACTATGCATATGCTCATTCAATACTATCATATGGTATAATTTTGTGGGGAAGCTCATCTGACGTAGACAAATTATTTATAATGCAAAAGAAATGCATACGAATTTTGACAAACATCGATCAGATGGAATCATGTAGACCTTATTTTATTAAACATAGAATTTTGACCCTTGCATCCATACTCATCCTTGAATCATGTAAATTTGTAAGGAAACACCCAGAATTTTATTCACCAATAGTAAGTGCTAAAAGAAATAATAGGGATTTAAATAAATTAGAAGTGCCATACAGCAAATTAATTATTATATTATTATTATTACCTAATAATATAAAGAACGTAGAAATATCAGCCAAATGCAACAATCAATTAAAATCATATTTAATCCAAAAATGATTTTATAATTTAAAAGAATTTTTTGACGACAAATGTAATTAATTTTTAAAGCTGACATTTTCATTATTATTATTGACATTGTTAAATCTAGTTTATAAAATTGAATTGTTTGTTGTGTAAAAATTAAATTATTATTATTGTTGTTTATTGAAATTGTTAAATCTATTTTATAAAATATAATTGTTGTGTAAAAATGAAATGTGAACTAAGTATTATAATACAATTATTTAACAAGCCCTCTGGCTTGATATTTGCTATGCCCTTGCAGGGCGTCACATATTTACTTTACATAAATTAATTTACCACCATGAATGTTATGTGACATGCAATAAATGAATGAATAAATGAACCACAAGAATGATGTCAAATTTAATTAAATATGCTCAGGTAGGTATTTACTAACTGATTGGCGTGAAGAAATACAACATCTATGAAATTTGAAACCGTATAAAATAGCTAGGTATTAATTTCCATGAGACTGCATTATTAAGTTAAATATTCCAAACGTCTAAGATTTAACTCTCTAACAGACAGATGCTCAAACTGGCAATGTCACCATTTCGGAGCGGAACCCTAGTGAAAGTATTTTTTCTAATTAAAGCGGATTGAATGGAATTTGTAGAAGCAAAACATTATTTTTGCATTTTGTTTGGCCTGACGACGTATATGGCAGGGATTCGATCGATGTCAATGACAGTATATTGCACGGCTGACCCACTTTTACACTGAACACCAGTGTCAGTGTCAGGTGGGGAAATTTATATCCCGACCGACCGTCTTCACACTCACACTTTCAAAGTCCACTGTTGGATTCCACCCTAATAATACTAATATTATAAATGTGAATTTTATATGTTGTATGTTTGTTACTCGATCATGCAAAAACAACTGAACGAATTTGGATGACGATCTAAGATGTTGTCCAATAGAGTCAGGTTCCAGTCATTGGACATTGCCCGCTGACGCGTTATGTTTGTTTTTGTTCGTACTTGTCTATCATATATCAAAAAACCGTAAAACCATGTGTTCGTTTATTCGTTTAGGCCCACTTGCAGCAAAGCTAATCTCGATTTAGGTTAACTTTATTTTAACCCTTACAAAAATTTCAGGGGCGCGCAAAGCGTCAGCTGCCTCATAGATGCTTGAATTTATTCGGAAAACTACAGGAAACAAAAACGTTGAGTTGGTCAAAAGGTTCATTGGTCTGAAGTTAATTCGATGAGAATTAATTAAAGTGTAAAATTTTATGGGATCTGTTACCTATTTTGAAATATGGTTTTAGAAATCATGTTTTGGCGGTTTACTAAGATCTCAATAAGTTTGAAGAGGGGAAAATATTCCATCAAATTCGACTCTGGACTTACCTCCAGTTTCGTCACGGCCACAAGGTATATATCAAGAACGTTTTGGAAAAATTTCATTCGCATCATTTTACTCCTATTAATATCGATTTGCAGTGCAAATATAGTTCAAGTATTATAAATATTTACGCACTTGTATATGTTCTATTGTAATATGCCTGTCTCTAAAATAGCTCAGTCGTTGCAACTAAATATAAACTTCGTTTGTTTATAGAACGGCGTTAAGATAATTATTTATTTGTATTCGTACCTTGCCTTTCTCCAAGGAAACACCTTCAATATTTACGAAAATCTTCCACTAGGTAATCCTTTAATATCTTATATTGTTTATTAGACGCGTCAGGAACCAAGTAATAAACAAAGGTAAACCTTAAACAAATTGTGCTCGTTAATTTTAGATCACTATCGTCACATCTCCGCGTACGAAGAATATATAACAACTTGCTAACGAGCGTGTCATTTAGTATTATACACACCAACGTGAGAACCAAACATTACTGTAAATAGTGTCACCTCAGCGACATTTAGATAATAAGAACCAAAAATGGCTGTAGGAAAGATCACCGGAGATCTAGAAAACAAAAGAGATTTACACAAAAACTGCACAGAAAAAGAAGATAACCCAAATACTATTTCAAAATCAGCATTAAGTGTTGCCGTGTCGCCAACGAATGAAGTGGATTTTGATGATTTATTATCTTCAGCCGGGGAGTTGGGAAGGTATCAGATTATTTTGTTCTTCGCTACCTTCCCGTTTTATGTTTTTGGTGTATTTGTATACTACTCCCAACTGTTTATGACCGAAACGTCTCCAAATCACTGGTGTTGGATACCAGAATTGGAAAATTTAACAGATATCGAACGAAGAAATTTGGCTATACCCCAGGACAGTCATACCAGATTTGGATATTCACACTGTCGAGCCTATGTGGCCAATTGGACTGATGTATTATCAAGCGGGTTGAAACCAAACGAGTCTTGGAAAACTGTGTCTTGCCAACATGGATGGGAATTCAATAAAAGTGAAATACCATATGAAACGATATCGAGTGAAATGGAATGGGTATGCGAGAAAGACAGCTATCAAGCGAGCGCTCAGTCAATTTTCTTCCTAGGTTCTGTTGTGGGAGGCTTTATAATTGGCTGGATATCTGATAAATATGGGAGATTACCAGCGGCTATCATCAGTAATGTAATAGGCTGTATCGGTGGGTTTACAAGTACGTTTACAAGTAACTTTATTGAATTTGCCACATGTAGATTTTTCATGGGTATGGCATATGATAACTGTATGATGATGGCCTACCTGATTGCCTTAGAATATGTGGCACCAAAGTACAGAAGTCTTATATCTAATATGGCATTCGCTCTCTTCTACGCCTTCGCTGTGACGGCACTGCCATGGTTAGTGCTTATATGTGGAGACTGGAAAATTATCTCTCTAGTAACAAGTATACCATTATTATTATCTTTGTTAACTCCTTTATTTCTACCAGAGAGCCCAAGATGGCTACTTTCCAAAGGAAGAGTAGATGAAGCTATTAAAAAAGTTCTCACGATAGGACGAGTTAACAAAAAAGAAGTACCATCCAAACTAATAGAACAATTTAGACATTCGACATGTAATAAAAAGCAGGAAGAATCCTTGAACTGTTTAGAAATTTTTAAAAGACCAATGGTGAGAAATATGTTTCTGTGTATATGTTTGGATTACATGTGTTGTGCTATCGTGTTTGACGGATTGGTGAGAAGTCTTGGCCAATTGGACTTAGATTTTTTCCTTTCCTTCTCAGTTGTGTCTTTCACAGAGTTCCCATCAATGCTCATCACAGCTTTTATCATGGATTGGATGGGAAGAAGATGGTTAACAACAATAGTCATGTCAGTAAGCTGTATTTTTTCTATATTGACTGTTTTCGTAAGCGGTGGTGTGCTTTCATTGGTTTTTGCGATAGTGGCAAGGTTTGCTGTGAATATTGCATACAGTGTTGCGATGCAATGGGCTGCAGAAATGCTTCCGACATCAGTGAGAGGATCTGGTGTATCATTTGTCCACATATGTGGTTATATTGCAACCTCTTTAGCACCTTACGTTATTTATTTGGAAACTTACGTCTATTGGCTTCCATTGGTTGTTATTGGAGCGATTGCTGGCTTTGGTGCCTTGGTAGCGTTTGCTTTACCAGAGACTGCGAAGAAAGACATGCCCCAAACATTTGAAGATGCCGAAGAGATGATCAGGAAACAGAGATTTTGGGAATTCCCATGTATAGGAGAGAGAAATATCGACGGCCCCGCGAATGAAGCATAAGTAATGTGTGAAAAACAATGTCACAGAGTTTGTAGATTTTTAAATTTGAGCAGTGATTTAATACATAGCAACTTTAAGTATCAACCAACATGACCCGCAAATATAAGTATGGAAGAAATGTTCGAGTAATTTTGAAAGTAAATCTGCTAAGCATTTTGTATTGTAGCATGTTTTGCATCGACAAATACTCAGCAAATCAATATACATATTTTGATAAAACTAATGTTGTGTTTTACTGTACCATACTATGTGCACATACATTATATTTAAAACTTTTTTTATGTTGTTAATTATGCTAAAAGTTTATACAGTTTTAAAAGAGACGTGCGGCAATTACCTTGCATTTCATATAGTCGGCAGTCACCTGTCGCCACCATACATGCATGTCTATATAAACTCTATATAAATAAGCCCGGTGCCAACAAACTTATTTGTATTACATAAATAAACGTCTGAAGGCGTAACACCGTTTAAACAATTATTAACACTCCGTTCAATTCTGATAAGTCATTTCCATAATCAGAGTTGAGTATGCATCGATAAGGCCGCAACAAAAACGTTAAAATAATAATTATTTTTGGAACAAGAAGAACAAGTTTTAAAAGCCGATTAGTAACAATTACGCTATTTTCATTTAACTAAATAGTTATTTACAATTTTTTTTGTGAAATTCTATATTTGAATTCTAATTCAAATACAGTAAAGTTATCACTTCCTGACAGCTGGATCAGTAATATTTTTATATTGAAACAACTGTTTCAGTCTAAAGAAATTATAACTTTAAATGAATTCCACGCCGACCAGGCACCGACCTTTTGCTATCCGGGCGAATGCACATGACCAGTGGCGGACTAACAGGGGGGCGGAAGGGACGGCCCGCCCCAGGCCTCCGATCTTGGGGGGCCCCCAAATGTCTCCACGTTACCCTGATCAAATCCTAAACAAGACTTTAAAAATGTGCTTAGTATCTACATAATTTCATTAAGATCAAAACTACAGTAATCTAGACTTTTTACGCGGTACTAATATTTTTTTAACTTTGCTGAACGCGTCCAATACGCTGGGGGAATTCCCGTCTTTGTAGCGGGTACTTCCTCAGGAATCCCTGAATGAAAAATGCATTGCAAATGCAAATAATTTACTCTTGCACGCATAGATTTACATTCACTACATTCTATTTAAGTCTAACAATATTTGCGGTCTCCAAAAATGACTCTGGATACGGGAATCACCAAACTAAACGCCTTGAATAAGTATTTAGGTGGTTCATCAACATCAGGAAACCAGGAAAAATGAAGGTATAAAGAACGATGCCGGGTGAATCAGCTCATGATGCTGGATTATCAATTCAAGAAGAAATATGTCGGTCAATGTATGAATGCATAGACCGCTTTATACAAAATTTTTCGAATTGGGCTATTAAACAAATCAAAAATATTTCCCAAATTATTGAAACAAAGTTTATGCTAGAAACTTCAGATGACGCTCTGGCTGTAGCAGTTGACAATCTGATACAAAGTTATGGTGAATTTGACAAGACTGGTTTAATCGAAATGAACATAAGAATCTACATTTTTTTAAGGCTGGGGGCCTCATTCAGCTTTGCCGCCCCGGGCCTCGGACGGGCTTAGTCCGCCACTGGCACTGACTTCATTTGACATTGTGGGTTACCTACAATGCTAAGAGATGGCGCTGCCTTGCAGCCTAAGAAATGCTAGAGAAAATTGTACACAGCCATCAGGGCCGCGGTAGCATAACGGTCAGAGCATTGGATAGCGGAGGGTGCGGGTTAGAGTCCCGTCTGCGGCCTGGCCCGCGTGGATTTTTTTGTAGTAAAATTTTCTTTACATTTAAACATCAAGCAGCTAAATTCTTAAGAAAATAAAATACAACTAGTTCTGTGCTTAATTTGGGGCTAGGCTAATTGGGAAAAGTATTTAAGTTTTTTTAACCATCATCGGTCATACCGTTAAAAAAAACTTAAATATTTTTCCCCATACATAAAATATTAGGGTAAATGTCTAATACTTGACACTTCTAAATGTATAAAAGAAAAGTAATGTAGGAAGCTTTGAATTATTTATAAGGGGCGCAATGAAAGTCAACGTGATGATTGATGCTGCCGTAGTTGAGTCGAGTGGGACCCGTGATAAAGCCTATGACATATTCGATATCATTTGTTATATTTCTATTATTTATGCATTTGCCTGCTCGATTTTCATATCTAAGAAATTCTTGAACGTTTGCGATGTCCGGTAGTAGTATATAGAAATGGATTAATTTTTAAGTAGCAGTTACAACAATGTTAATGACCAGTAGTAATAATTAGAAAAATAAGAAGGAAATTATTAGTATAGACCACTAATTTATTTTATTTATTAATAGGAGGAGATGATTGCTATCGATTTACTCCGATAATTACCTACTTTAATGCGGAAAAGTAACAGCTGGCCTGATATACGAGCAAAGTATAATAATAGGTACATATTTGAACGTTCTTCAAAAAATAGTAATTTATCGTCAAAAAAAATTGTAACCTAATCTGACTTTTAGGATACCAATTGTATTTTTAAGCTGATCATTTATTATTTTTTGAGGATCATTTAAATATTTCCCAAATTAATACCTTTCCGATAAAGCTCTTAGTTAATTATACATGATTTTAAATATACCATCAGAAATCTTCGCCTTCTCAAAAGCAGAAGAAATCAATTTGATTTCACGAAGTTTTCTCAAGATATAATTCACCTCTTACAAGGTAATTAGGTTCGGTACCATTTCCGGACAAGTGAGTTTTCTTAGCCCGAAGAATCGCTAATTAACGCTGCTCCAAGTTAATGCGGGAAACGCAATTACTTGCTCCAGGTAACTAACTCGAGAAGTCGAGACGAGACGAGCTACCCATCAACCTACGTAGCCACGCATAGAGTGATTACTTAAAGATTTTTCCACTTGACTTACTTTTATTTTTGTTTGCTTTTAATTTTTCAATCCCTGGAAAGAATTCATTTGCCTGTTAACTTAATACATTACAGTACGAAACACGTAACGGTTTGTGATGGAAAGATCTCACACCTTTATTCGCCAAGCCCCAATCCTATAAGTGCGTACTGTTCTAAGAGGAATTTCTTTCCAGAAAAGAAATATATTTTAGTAAACAAGTGTGATACTGTGTGTCCCAAAATTGGAGTAATTACCCTTCTGTATTTAAATCATTTTTTTTAGTTTACTTATAACTATGGGTGTAATGCAATTATTTCGATGAAAAATTGGATTTTCCAAAACTTTCTTTCATCGTTTTGATACTTAAATTATGACAAATGGTTTTTGTCTATGCTCTCTCAGCTGCTGATATGATCATTCTCAGTTAATGTCTGTAATGCAATAAAAAAAATATTTGTTTTAAACAAATAGTCATAAAAGGTGATTTTGATCCAGTTAATCAGGAATATTTATGACTTCTTATGCAATGAGGATAAACAGCTCTAAATATTTGAATCTAAAAGATGGAGATAATTTTAACAGATGACCGGCCAATGAGAAATTTCCTTGATATCCGCCGAGCTATTGAAAATCTAGCACGTTTTCCAAAGCTCTGCCAAGGTGTTCAATGAATTAAGAATTCTACAGAAGTGGCATAATCATTAAAATAAGTATTTAATGAATAAATATATAAAAAGGTGAAATAGGTTATATAAAAACGCACAGAGAGAGGAAGCCACTGGTTCACATACAGCCTGACACTTGAGCCAAATACATTTTTGAAGTGAAACTTCTTTAGGCACGCTTTGAGGGTAAACTGGCGAATGTGTTACATTTTTGCGTTACGATTAGTGTCACCGGTAAACAATGAACAATACCCGTCACAAAATACATGAATCTAGTGGTGGGTGGGTGATAACGGACCCAGTGCGGATTGGTGGATGATAACGGACCCAGTGCGAATTGGTGGGTGATAACGGACCGAGCGCGGATTGATGGGTGATAATGGACCCAGCGCGGATCGGAAGGTGATAAGAAACTCAGCGCAGATTTGTGGGTGATAATAGACCCAGTGCGGATTGGAGGGTGATAACGGACCCAGCGCGGATTGTTTTGTTTTCTTTCAACAAATCTTCAGGTTAGGTTTATGATTTTTCGATCATTGGAGCTAAAGAATTTTCACTTCAGTCGTGTGGTCATAAGCACACTCGCTTTTTTTTTTAATTTTATTTGTAGTAAAGTTTTCTTTGGTTTAGTTCAATCACTTTAATATTTAAAAGATATTATAAACTAAAAAAAACCTATAACAAGAACTTCGCTATCTTCAAATCGTAAAAAGCCTTTGGCAAGTGATTGCCCCTAATAGGGCCTAGTATTGTAGCTCAGGGATTAGTGCAAGATGCGACATGTGTCCAAGAATACCCTCGTCATCCCCTGTCGAGGATTAACGGTGACCGGTTAATATACAAGAAAATCTCGTACCACAATTTTTTTATGCCAAGTTCTACTAAGAAAAACTTTGAAATTACACAAGATTTTATCAAAACCTCTTTCTTAAAATAAGGTCTTATTATTTGTTTTCAAAAGGTGAAGATATTTTTATATCCCGATTAAGTGTCGCCGCACACCACAAATAACCACAAAACGCCGCCACCAGCATAGTTCTTGTAGTTTCCATACATTTTATATCGACTCGCCACACACGTTACGTCGGTGGCCGCCACACGCTAAAAATCGTCGTTGCTCGCTTCTTGTGGCCCGCGCCGGCCACATAATGCGCCGATACAAAACGCCGCCTCGTGTCCCACCCCTCTCTCCCTTACCTTAGTCGGCCGCTGTCGCGCGCTTCAGCCAATTTAGTAGCCGCTTCTAGCTTCTCGTGGCGGCGTTTGTGGCTGTGGCGTGTGGCCCGTGTGCGGCGACACTTAAGGTACCATTCCGCAATGGGCTGCAGGCGACAACTGCAGGCAACACTGCCGCTAGCGCCTGCGGCTGACCGTGCATTATATGCATTGTGCAGCCGCGGCATGTCGCCGCGCTCGGAATCAATTTCATAGAGCTTCATAAAAACTAGTAGTGTCGCCTTCAGTCTGCGATTCAGTTCGGACTTGTACCTTAAGAATCACTCG